GGTAAAACTGAAATAGAAATTAATAAAAGCTATACAGACATATTAAAAATTGTAATTGATTTTTTTATATTATTATTATTATTTATTTTTTTATAAAAACAAAATACAGCTAGCTTAAGTAGTGAGAACTGGGCAAATCTGGACTTGCTGTGAATGAAGCTGAAAGAGTTGATGAATGAATGAATGACGGAATAAATGAATGAATGAATTAATGAATGAATTAATGACAATGAATTAATGACTGAATGAATGAATGAATGACTTAATTAATTAATGACTGAATGACTGAATTAATGAATTAATTAATGACTGAATGACTCTGAATGAATGAATGAATTAATTAATTAATGACTGAATGACTAAAATGAATGAATTAATGACTATGAATTAATGACTGAATGACTCAGAACGAATGAATAAATGAATGAATGAATTAATTAATGACTGAATGAATAAATGAATGAATGACTGAATGAATGACTGAATTAATGACTTAATGAATGAATTAATGACTGAATGAATTAATTAATTAATGACTGAATGAATGACTGAATGAATGAATTAATGACTGACTGACTGACTGAATGAATGAATGACTTAATAAATGAATTAATGACTGAACGAATGAATAAATTAATGAATGACTGAATGAATGACTGAATTAATTAATGAATTAACGAATTAATAAATGAATGAATGACTTAATGAATGAATTAATGACTGAATGAACGAATTAATGACAGAATGAATGAATGAATTAATTAATTAATGACTGAATGAATGAATGAATGAATTCATTTATTAATTAATGACTGACTGACTGACTGACTGACTGACTGACTGACTGAATGAATGAATGACGGCGGCCCACTTTCAAAGCAGCGAGTGCCAGAAATCACTACGGTTGGTCTTTCCGCCGTAGTTAGCAGTAATTACAGGCCTCTGTGAACGACTATTTCAAGAAACACAAGAAGGTGATGGAAAGGAGCTAAGTGGCTTGTTGCTAGGTGACCGCATCAACTAAGTTAAAAGAAAGAATGAAGTGCGTTCGCTCTTGCCGAGCACAAACTTCAGTATAATGGAAGCTAAAAATAACGCTTGCACTGACTCGTTGATTGATTCGCTCTCGGACAGACGGAGGTGAGCAGCGCAGAAGAAAAACAACGGCGGGACGGAACCGGAGCCAGAAACTAAAGCTAAAGCTCAGCACCTGCAGCAGTGCAAAGGTTACCGGTGCCCACGTCTCCAGCAGAACATAAACATGTGCAGAAATATGTTTTTAGGAGCAACAAAACCTTATTTCCATGAGAAAATGCCCTCAAATACATATACAGTGGGTACGGAAAGTATTCAGACCCCCTTAAATTTTTCACTCTTTGTTATATTGCAGCCATTTGCTAAAATCATTTAAGTTAATTTTTTTTCCTCATTAATGTACACACAGCACCCCATATTGACAGAAAAACACAGAATTGTTGACATTTATGCAGATTTATTAAAAAAGAAAAACTGAAATAACACATGGTCCTAAGTATTCAGACCCTTTGCTCAGTATTTAGTAGAAACACCCTTTTGATCTAATACAGCCATGAGTCTTATTGGGAAAGATGCAACAAGTTTTTCACACCTGAATTTGGGGATCCTCTGCCATTCCTCCAAGTTGCAGATCCTCTCCAGTTCTGTCAGGTTAGATGGTAAAAGTTGGTGGACAGCCATTTTTAGGTCTCTCCAGAGATGCTCAATTGGGTTTAAGTCAGGGCTCTGGCTGGGCCATTCAAGAACAGTCACAGAGTTGTTGTGAAGCCACTCCTTCATTATTTTAGCTGTGTGCTTAGGGTCATTGTCTTGTTGGAAGATAAACCTTCGGCCCAGTCTGAGGTCCTGAGCACTCGGGAGAAGGTTTTCGTCCAGGATATCCCTGTACTTGGCCGCATTCATCTTTCCCTCGATTGCAACCAGTCATCCTGTCCCTGCAGCTGAAAAACACCCCCACAGCATGATGCTGCCACCACCATGCTTCACTGTTGGGACTGTATTGGACAGGTGATGAGCAGTGCCTGGTTTTCTCCACACATACCGCTTAGAATTAAGGCCAAAAAGTTATATCTTGGTCTCATCAGACCAGAGAATCTTATTCAGGTGTTTTTTAGCAAACTCCATGCAGGCTTTCATGTGTCTTGCACTGAGGAGAGGCTTCCGTCGGGCCACTCTGCCATAAAGCCCCGACTGGTGGAGGGCTGCAGTGATGGTTGACTTTCTACAACTTTCTCCCATCTCCCAACTGCATCTCTGGAGCTCAGCCACAGTGATCTTTGGGTTCTTCTTTACCTCTCTCACCAAGGCTCTTCCCCCCCGATAGCTCAGTTTGGCCGGACGGCCAGCTCTAGGAAGGGTTCTGATCATCCCAAACGTCTTCCATTTAAGGAATGGAGGCCACTGTGCTCTTGGGAACCTTAAGTGCAGCAGAAATTTTTTGTAACCTTGGCCAGATCTGTGCCTTGCCACAATTCTGTCTCTGAGCTCTTCAGGCAGTTCCTTTGACCTCATAATTCTCATTTGCTCTGACATGCACTGTGAGCAGTAAGGTCTTATATAGACAGGTGTGTGGCTTTCCAAATCAAGTCCAATCAGTATAATCAAACACAGCTAGACTCAAATGAAGGTGTAGAACCATCTCAAGGATGATCAGAAGAAATAGACAGCAC